CCCACCACCTTGCCCAGCTAATTTTTTTGGTATTTTTAGTAGAGACAGGGTTTCACCATCTTGGCCAGGCTGGTCTTGAACTCCTGACCTTGTGATCCACCCGCCTCAGCCTCCCAAAGTGCTGGGATTACAGGCGTGAGCCACGGCGCCCGGCCCACTTAATCTTTAAAATGTGATAGTTTTAAGTAGGGGCCTAAAGCAAATGGGTTGTTGATAACTATAAAAACGCCTAGCTAACATGGTCCTTTCCACTACACTTACTATTTCTGCTGCCATGCAACAGGTGGTCAGAAAACTACCAGTTCTGACTGGGCGTGGTGGCTCATGCCTGTAATCCTAGCACTTTGGGAGGCTGACGCGGGCAGATCACCTGAGGTCAGGAGTTTGAGACCTGCTTGGCCAACAATGTGAAACCCCATCTCTACTAAAAATACAAAAATTAGCTGGGCATGATGGTGAGTGCCTGTAATCCCAGCTACTTGGAAGGCTGAGGCAGGAGAATTGTTTGAATCTGGGAGGCAGAGATTGCAGTGAGCCGAGATCGCACCACTGCACTCCAGCCTGGGCAACAGAGCGAGACTCTGTCTCAACAAAACAAAACAAAATGAAACAAAACTACCAGTTCCTAGAGCAGTGGTTCACAAACCCGGCTGCAGGTAGGAATCACCTGTATTTTCCCAGATCCCACTTCAGATCACTTGAATTAGATTGTCTAGGGCTGGGGCCTGAAGATTCCTATGCTTAAAAAGCTGTCTATCTCTCTTCCTTCCTACACTGAATTTTCTTATGGTTCGAGGACTCAGAATTCAAGCTAGTATAGCTAATGCCACAGTCCAGCTGCTTCAAGAGTTCAACACAGTGAGAACTTGTCTCTACAAAAAGTCAAAAAATGAGGCGGGAGGATTGCTTGAGCTCAGGAGGTCGAGGCTGTAGTGAGGCGTGATCGTGCCATTACGCCTGAGTGACAGAGCGAGACCCTGACTCAAAAAAAAAAAAAAAGAATTGAAGAGATCTGAAGGCTACTTTGAGGGCCAACCACCATTTTCAATGTAGTCTCTCTAGGGTGATATGTTGGAAGTGTCCAGAAAACAATTTTAAAAGAAGTTTGAGGATGTGGTCCACATACTTTTTTGGGAAACTGACCACACAGAACTTTTGATCAAAATGCCTTCATTTGTTCCTAAAATGTCTTATTGTGTCTTTACTATATGAAATTAATGCTGGCTGGGCATGGTGGCTCATGCCTGTAATACCAGCAGTTAGGAGGGCGAGGCAGGCAGATCACCTGAGGTCAGGAGTTCGAGACCAGCCTGTCCAACATGGAGAAACCCTGTCTCTACTAAAAATACAAAAATTAAGCAGATGTAGTGGTGCGCACCTGTAGTCCCAGTTTCTTGGGAGGCTGAGGCAGCAGAATCGCTTGAACCCGGGAGGCGGAGATTGCAGTGAGCTGAGATCATGCCACTGCACTCTAGCCTGGGTGACAGACTGAGACTCTGTCTCAAAAATAAATAAATAAAAAAATAAATAAATAAATAAATGTAAACAAATGCTGAATTGAAATTGTTAAGTTCAAGTGTTAGTTCTTACAAACAAGGTGAAGTACCAGTTGGGTTTTTTTTTTTTTTTTTTTTTTTTTTTTTTTTTTAGAGACAGAGTCTTACTCTGTTACCCAGGCTGGAGTACAGTGGTGTGATCTTGGCTCACTGCAACCTCTGCCTCCCAGGTTGAAGTGATCTTCCTGCCTCAGCCTCCTGAGTAGCTGATACTACAGGTGCGTGCCACCACACACAGTTAATTTTTTTGCATTTTTAGTAGGGACGGGGTTTCACCATGTTGGTCAGGCTGGTCTCGAACTCCTGACTTCAGGTGATCCACCAGCCTCAGCCTCCCAAAGTGCTGGGATTACAGTGGTGAGCCACCACACTTGGCCCCAGTTGTTTTTTGTTTTTGTTTTGTTTTGTTTTGTTTTTGAGACAAGGTTTCACTCTATCACCTAGGCTGCATTGCAGTGGTACCATTATAGCTCACTGCAGCCTTGACCTCCGGGGCGCAAGTGATCCTCCTGCCTCAACCTCCTGAATAGCTAGGACTACAGGTGTGAATCACTATGCCCCGCCAATTTTTAAATTTCTTGTAAAGATGGGGTCTCATTATGTCGGCCAGGCTGGTCTTGAACTCCTGACTTCAAGTGACCCTCCTTCCTCTGCCTCCCAAAGTGCTGGGATTATAGGCATGGGCCACCATGAATGGCCAAAATACCAGGTTTTTATGGGCAGTACAACTTTAGCCCAAACTGTCAATGAACTCAACTTTTTTTGCCTCCATAAAGAGGCAAATACAAAGAAAATGGGTTTTCAACACAGAGAAAAACAAATTCCAAGAGATGGGCTGGGGTCAGTATACATGCTGTCTATTCTCCTCTACCTTCTGGTTCGTCATCCTACCTCTGTACTATGATGTTGATGCTCTGAAGAAGACCCTGTATCCCAGCAATATTCCTCATCTATAAAATATTTAATTGTGTTCCTCTAAACCCAAAACACACAAGATGATGTCCAGGGAAGTTAGAGGAACATATGTCAGCTGAAGAATTAGGGGTACGTTCCCTCCTGTTTACCTCCCCAATTCACCCTGGCCCACATCCGGTTTGGAGTGTCCATGTCTATGGAGACAGAGGAGGATGTTCTTCCACTTCTAACCTCAAAAGGACACACTGGAGGCATCTAGATTGAGGTTACAGTTATCCTTTGAGGAGCTGTAAGAAGAATATTTGGAAGTAGATCAAATCTAGAATAATCAAGTGTGAAAGGACTATGGTTGTGAGTAGTAGCAAATAGTACTGTTGCTACTGCTGCTACTGTTGCTATACTGTGTTGATAAATACAAAGTATAGTCATAAAGGTGGGGGATTGAATCATGATCCAGAATAATATGGCTGTTAAGGCTTTCCAGGTCAGCCAGACAGTTGAGATAATCCTTATTCAAGTGAGAAACGAATTTGGCCCTCCTTATCTGGAGGAGAGGGTTAGAAGGACGATGGATGGATTTGGGGCCATATAGTAGGACTGAATTCCTAGGCTGAGCTCCAATGACCTCTGAATGCCCCAGAGATATCTGTGTTCCATCTGATCTGGTCTGCAGCAAGTCCACAGAAGCTACACTCACTTTTTCCTGCTGAATTGTCAAAATAATTGCCCTTCAGCCCATGCCTCGCTACCCTGTAGACAGAATCCACTCATTTCCCTGTCACATGGGCTACAATTGCTACTTCAAATGAAAACCTGGGAAGCCAGTTCCCTGCTGCGGTTGAAAGCATATAATTAGCTCCTCGTGCAACCTGACCCCACTGATTTTTCTGATGCATGTGGCCTAGATTGTGCCCTTTCTGAGACCTCCAATGTCTTCTCCACAGCTGGGGATGCCCAAAACTGCATGCAGCACTTCCTGCGGGTGTGGCCTTGCATTCTTAGGGCTGCAGGGTACCCGCCGCATGCCAAATGGATCACAGGCTCCAGCCACTCACAGATTCACAATGCTTTTAAAAATACAGCAGTGGAGTATGAGTGGCTATATCAGATATGAGGGTTTTCCACCCCCTCCCTTTTCTTTTAAAATATGATTTTGTAATGGTGGCCTCAAGAAACACTATAATTGGTCAGCCTGGGGTGCGTTTGAAGGCCTTCCCTATGGCGTCATTAGCTATTCTCAGGAAAGGCAGGGTATCCCCCTGGGAGAATGACAACACACTTGTTTCAAGTTAGGGAAGAGCCTGTGGTTCTCTTCCTGCGTTCAGGGGAAAGCGAACACACAATGTTCGTTTCCTAAATACGGGATGTGCTGTGCTGGCAGGCCATTTTCCACCATGTCACGTCCTTCTGGATGAAGGCAGCAGGGGTCAGGACAGGAAATGGCAAATTCTCAGAATGAGACAAGGCTTTCCCAGGGCAGCCATTGGTTCTCTGGGACTATAAAGCACACTCATCCAGAAACAGCCTCAGATTTTACTTTCCTGGAGGCAGACAGAAGTGAATGGTAAGTGGGGAACCCCGAGGCATATATTCGGGATGATTTTTTCTCATTTTCTCTTTTTACCTGGAAAATTACCCCTGGTGGGTTGGATTATGGAAGCATGGAAGTAAAATTAAGTCCTATGAGTAAGGAGATCAGGATTCTAGACTGGGCTCTGTGAAGAATCAGCTGCTTCTAGAATCTAATGTCTGATGCAGGCAATTCTTCCAGATGAGAATGATTTCTGCCCTGATAGCTCAGTTTTGAAATGCTCTATTTCTATGGCTCATTTGCCACTTCTAAGAAGTTCCTAATAATGAAGACTACAGTGGACATGAAGGTGGGAATCTTGGCAACGAGGATGAATGTACTTTTCCCCCAAGATGTACAACTTGTTAGTATCTTTGTCAGTCATCTTCAGTTGGCTTCAGTGTGGTACAAGTTGTTGAACAAAAATTTTGGCCGCTTTATCTTATTCAACCATTACTCATTTTTAAAAGAAAACATTCATAACAAAGAGACATAATGGTATTAATTTAATGTGACTGAGTTTAAATTAAGCACCCAGCAAAGATTGATGTTTCTGAAGATCTAAGGAGCCCTAGTTAGAATAAACAACGCAAACCTCACTTTAGGTTTGATTCTAAGAAAAGAGCCTGGAAGAATCACAAGCAAAAGAGTTGCTTCAGGCAAGCATCTAACTTAGATTAGTTTCTTCTGCTTGGTAGAAAATATGATTTTTGAGATTTTGGTGACGTCTTTTTCATACATTAGAGAGAGAGAAAAGTGTGTTGCAAAACTCCTAGGATCCAATTTTCATAAGATGAAAGGGCTTTGTAAACTGTACAACCCACCACTTACAAAGTGTTATCTTAAATAGAGCAAAGGCCTCAGTATTGGAGAAGTCTTCTAATACCACGCCCCTCCCAGTTTAAATCTTATTTAACACATAGCTGATGAAACCCATCCTTAGCGTTCCCTGGGAGAGAAGCAGAAGATAGCATTATTCCTATTTCCATATGCAGAGATAAGGTCCTGAGAACTTGTGTGGCTCCCCCCGATTCCAGAACAGGTCTTTGAGAACTTGATTCATGATCCACTGGAAATAGACCCGTTCCCCTAGCGGGGCAGTGGCTGCTCCGCTGAACTCGTGCCAACTTCCCGCTGGCGTCCAGGCAGCAGGCAGGGAGCGGCGGCTGGCACGGAGACTCCAGGCTGACCGCATGTCTGTGTCCCCGCAGGGAATGGAGAGGCCGGCAGCCCGGGAGCCGCATGGGCCGGACGCACTGAGGCGCTTCCAGGGGCTGCTGCTGGACCGCCGAGGCCGGCTGCACGGCCAGGTGCTGCGCCTGCGCGAGGTGGCCCGGCGCCTGGAGCGCCTGCGCAGGCGCTCCCTGGTGGCCAACGTGGCTGGCAGCTCGCTGAGCGCAACAGGCGCCCTCGCAGCCATCGTGGGGCTCTCGCTCAGCCCGGTCACCCTGGGGGCCTCGCTGCTGGCGTCGGCCGTGGGGCTGGGGGTGGCCACAGCCGGAGGGGCTGTCACCATCACGTCCGACCTCTCGCTGATCTTCTGCAACTCCCGGGAGCTGCGGAGGGTGCAGGAGATCGCGGCCACCTGCCAGGACCAGATGCGGGAGATCCTGAGCTGCCTGGAGTTCTTCTGCCGCTGGCAAGGCTGCGGGGACCGCCAGCTGCTGCAGTGCGGCAGGAACGCCTCCATCGCCCTGTACAATTCTGTCTACTTCATCGTCTTCTTCGGCTCACGTGGCTTCCTCATCCCCAGGCGGGCGGAGGGGGACACCAAGGTTAGCCAGGCCGTGCTGAAGGCCAAAGTTCAGAAACTGGCCGAGAGCCTGGAGTCCTGCACGGGGGCTCTGGACGAACTCAGCGAACAGCTGGAGTCTCGGGTCCAGCTCTGCACCAAGTACAGCCGTGGCCACGACCTCAAGATCTCTGCTGACCAGCGTGCAGGGCTGTTTTTCTGAGAACATCCTTTCCCCCTAATGACCGAGGCCAGCAAATCATCCCCATGGGATGCTCCAGATTTTGTAGCTCCCTTAGGAAAACACCACGCTGGGTTAGGAGCCGAAGGCAAAGGATGAGAAAAACTGGTTTTGAAGTGGGTGGGTCCCCAGAGCCCTTCTTTTCCCATCACTGTGACATCTGCCTGGGCTTGAGTGCTACGGACTTTTCAGTTGTGTGATCCTAGTGGAAGAATGTGACCCCAAAACTCTTTTTCCTTTATCAAAACCTTTCTGTCTAAACACAGCTGGGCAGGCACTACTGTTTGAAAGTTACTTCGGGGTCCCTGACCCTGCCCTGGTGGCCTGACCTGAGACTGGAGAGAGTGCCGCCCTCTGGGTCCTCTCCAAGTCCTACTAGTCTTTGAAGTCCTCAAAATGCCCATGAAAGAAGGCATTTGCCTCTCTTCCAGAATGTCTGATACAAAGAACTGCAGAATCCAGAGCAAATCAGCCCTTCTCTAAACGTTGTAGGACGGTTCAGAACTCAGAGAGGGCCCTGGTGTTGACATGTCCTCCTCTTCCCTTTCCCTTCAGCTTACCCACTCCCAGATGCAGCCTGAGTATGCAGTAGGCCTTTCCTGAGTGGCTCCCAATCCAGTCCTCCAAGTACTCAGAGGGGAAGCCGGTTAAACCATCATCTAAGTCCTGTTCCCTCACATGAAGAAGCTGAGGGCGGAGCGACTGCCAACTTCATTTCCCGACATCATTGTGTTCAGAAGAGAGTGATGGGTTGAGTTAGACAATCCTGGGCTTGAGACAGGCTTTGTCACTACTGTGTGAGTGTAGCCACCTAATCTGTCTTTGACTGTGTAAAACAAAGATGATAAAACCTCATCCGGTTGTGAGATATTAAATGAGCCAAAGTGCCTAGCATAGTGCTGGCTCATATAGTGTAGTCCCTGGAATGGCAGATTAACACCACCCGGGAACTTGTTAGAAAGGCAAATTCTTGGACACAACCCCCCTGACTTATGGAATCAGAAACTCTGGATGTGGAGCCCGGCAACCTGAGTTTAAACAATTTCTCTCCGTGGTTCTGCGGCACACTAAGGTTTGAAAACCACTGCAACAAATGCTAACTTCTAATCCCCTTGATGAGCTTTCACGAAGTTTCGCAGCTTCTCTAGGGACTCCACGGTCTTCAGAGTCATTCACAGATGACCAAGGACATACTGTGTCCCAGAAGCCAAAATGAGAGAGAGCGCGCGCGAGCACCCGTAAGTGCATCCTGAGGCAGTGTCTCACCGTGTGAACTAAGGGATGTAACACTGTCAGTCCATTAGAGGGCAGTGTTTCCCATCTATTGTAGAAACTGGTACAGAAAGGAACGTGAAGTTCCCGAAACTGACCTTTCTCTATTATTACCTTCTCTGAAAAGCGCCAGTCCATGTATTTTTTATTTATTTTGAGTTTGTAATTTAATTATTGTTTATTGTTTGCATTTAATTTTATTTAACCACCACATTTAGAAAATAATAAGAGCAAGTTTCTAAATGGGAGACTGCTGAGGCTCTTTGCAAGAGATGAGATTAAGTTTGAGTTTCTAAGGCAGGGCATGGGCTGGAAATAGCATTGCTGTCCTTGAATGTCTCTCTCCTTCAGGGAGACTTTTATTCTCTAGTGTTTTAAGTGATCCTTTTAAGTAAGTGCGGAGAGTCTTAAAGAGCAAGACCAGGAGCTGAGTTTAAGCTTGTAATGGAGGCTTGCATTGTGGGATATATAACTGAGGAAACATATTTATCCTGAAGGTAGTTTACCAGAAGATAACACTTGACCTGGAAAAGGAACCTATTTAGTTCAGGAAAGATAAAAAGTTTAGAGGTATGTGAAGGAAGCACTTAGACCTTGCAAGCCTGGTGTCCTATCAAGTTATGTCTTATGGGTGACAGACAAAATATCCCGTCTTATGCTGGTGATGTGTTGCATTTTCACTTCGGGGTCTGTAAGAAACTGTCAGCGAAAATGTATACAATTCCTTCAGTTTCCATTCTTAACAACCGTAATGTTGAAAAGTAAGTTGAAAAGTCTTTGGGACCATACATGCAAAAACTGTGCCTCTGTTATTTAATTATTTAAAATTCTGTAAATGTACCCAATCTGCCCCCACCATTCCCAATGATGGCAGCATGTCTGAGGAAGTATAATTTCAGCGCCGGGGTTGCGGAGAGGAGGTGATGCTTCTGTATTTTTATTTTTCCTATAAATCGCAATTGGTCTGTATTGGTCTGGTTTATTTTGAAATTTATCTTGGTTTATTTTCAAGCTGGTGTTATCTCCTAGACTGCTTCACCCAGATACTAGCTTGTTTTTTTTTTTTTTTTTTTTTTGAGACACTCTGTCACCTAGGCTGGAGTATAGTGGTTTGATCTTGGCTCACTACAACCTCCGACTCCTGGGTTCCAGCGATTCCACTGCCTCAGCCTCCTGAGTAGCTGGGATTACAGACGTGCAGCGACACATCCGGCTAGTTTTTTATATTTTTAGTAGAGACACGGTTTCACTATGTTGGCCAGGCTGGTCTTGAACTCCTGGCCTTATGTGATCCACCCACCTTGGCCTTCCAAAGTGCTGGGATTACAGGCATGAGCCACCTTGCCTGGCCAGATGCTAGCATTTTAGATCACCGGAATGTACTTCACATTGTTAGTTGTGTTATGGCATAAAGGTACAACCATTCCCTAACTCCATCTTTTATTAATGCTTAAGTTTAAGTTATATTCTTCCAATGCCTGAGCTATTCCCTAGAAATAAACTGGGCAATTCTGGAAGCAGAAGCCCTAACAGCAGCAGCAAACTTTCCTGTCTTTAGAATATTGTGTGTGTATCAAAAGTTCTATACTTTTGAAGTTATGATTTCAGTGACCCACTTTATTTCTAAGGAAGAGTGTCTACTTTGGAACAATGCTTTGCACATAGTAGGAACTCAAGAAATGCATTTGAATAATTTAATTAACTGTTTAGCTATGTTAATGAGAATTTGTTGATAACAAAAGATCATCCATGCCCTTATGTGTGAGTAAGATTGGAGCCTCTATCAAGATTTAGTCAAGTTCAGTTAGATTGATTCTAGAAACAAATATTTATTTATTTCTTTTACGGGGATGTGAATAAGGCTTTTCCTCAAGGCCTTCATTCTATAAACAAACAGTTTGAAATCGTATGTTGTAAAGAGAAGAAGGGAGAGGGATATTTAGATGTTAAGTGTACTTGACAAAAATGTCAAAGTTTGAAAAATAAGTATGTTTGTTCTAAATGTTTAAGTGCTTCTCTGTTAGGTTCCTAGGTTTGCAATCATTTGAATTGTTTTGTTTCACAATAAAGGAGATTCATTGGGTTCTGCGTTTTAAGGATTCAATAAAACTGCTCCATTAAAAAAGTAATCCTTAGCAAACATTCGGATCCTAACTGCTTTGATGCACTTGCCTTCCGGCACCTGTCATTTCCAATATGGTAAGTGTCAAAGTCAAAAGTATTTACTGGGAGAAAAAGGAGAGGAGTGGCTGTAGAAGTCTCCCTAAATCAGATATGTCAAGCAATCAGCCAACATGGTATATTTCTCATTCAATATTTTCGTGTGAATTGAGACACTGAGATAAAGACATTGTGCAGAGATAAATGGGGATACAGTTAAACGTAGCAACTCTCGAGTTCATTTTTTTCCCACTGTAGCAAAATTAATGCTTTCTCTTTATTGAAATAAATTGCTCATTTCTCAAACTTTTTTATCTTTCTGTAATTAATTTCATAGTTCTATGTTTCCTTGTGTATGAATCAGTAACTTTGAAAAAGGGCAGATGTTTAATCATTTTCACTTAGAATATTCAGATAAAACTATATGAATCAATTTTTTAAAGTAATCAACGCATATACAAGAATTCCCTTATTGCCTGGAAATCAGACTTCCAGCAGTCTCAAAATGTTTGAACAATTCAAAACTTTTGAACAATTCAAAACATTCGAATAATTACAACCTGGGAAGGAATGGAAAGGAAACCTAGAATCAGCCAAATTAGCCTTCACAAAATCCAAACACTAAAGAGAGGTAGGCAGAGAGGGTGAAGGGCAGCATGTATACCAGGAAAGCAAAATTTTCCCGTAACTTTCTGGGGGACTTCACCTTGCAAGCCACCGATCTTGACCATGCAAGGCAGGCTGGGAAATGTAGTATTTTTAGCTGAGAACAACGCTGCCCCTAATATACCTCAGATTCTGTTGGTAAGAAAGAAAAGGAGGGTGATCACTGAGTAGGGGGTCCAGCAGTTTAAACAAAAAGCCTGTTGTGGTTGCAGCAGCCAGTTGGGAACAACTGCTCTGGAGATGACCTCACTATCTGAGTGCCAGCTGCACCTTGGAAACATTCCTGGGTCTGGAGGCTGCACTGTTAATGACTGTACAACCAAAAAAGGCTGTGTTGGCAGGCCCCTGACTGTTTGCAGAGGCCAGCCGCAAGCCGGGATCCTATCTTTGCTGAAGCATATGGTATTCCTGTAGTAACAAGTGTCCTTTTAGTTAATTGCAATAAATCTCTTGTTGAGTTGACAGGAGGTTGGGATGTTACTTTTTGCTCCTGGCAAACTCATAAGAGGGAAAGTAAACCCTGCTGTGGTCTGGAATAGGACAAAGAGTGAGCCCTTAGATCTGAAAACAATCTCTTAGCAACCAGAGAGCTGTTAGGAGGGGGGAAGTCGTGCTGATGAAGCAAGACCCATCTAGGGTCCAGGAATGCACATTAGGGGTCCTCGGCACCCCCAAACCTGACTAGCATTAGCACTGGGTTGTGGAGAGAAGGCCCTCCAATGTGGTCTTTGCCTGCATGCATACAGATTGTCTATATGAAGCTATATCTGCAGAAAATGATGTTTAATCCAATTTTGTATTTACACTATAACCCCAGAGGCAGAAAGGCAGGCAGGCCTGTGACCTGATTTGCCCTGAGCTTTAGCTATGGTTCACAGCCAAGGCCTCTGCCTCCCTTACACACAGGAGCAGGCGGAATCCTGGCCTCCTCCAGCATTTGTGTGAATACGGTTGCCAAATTCACCAAAATAATTATAATTGGGAGAAGCTTTTTGTGTAGATACAGCTTAGGGTAGGGGTGATGTCTAAAGTCTTTCTTTTAGGCGAAACTTCTTTCTCTAGGCTCCCTGATTGATAAGCAGACATTTCTTTCTGTCCTCACTTCTTATTAAAACTGCACTGTCAAAATATCATTTAAAAACAATATTTTTTTCAGTGCTTAAATAAAATGACATTTCAATAATATCGAACATACATGTGGAATATTTAGCAATAATAATAGTTAACGTTTATTGAGAACTCACTAGATGCTGTTCTAAGTACAATTTGACCTATATCATTTCATTTACCTTACAAAAATCTTACGGTGTGTGCACTACAATTACCCTATATTGTTAGGTAAAGTAAGGAATTTGAGAGGTTGCATTGCCAGCATGAGGTGCCCCAGAATTTGAATTCTGGCAGCCTGACTCCAGAGTTATGCTCTTTTCTTTTCTTTTCTTTTTCTTTTTCTTTTTTTTTTTTTTTTTTTTTTGAGATGCAGTCTTGCTATGTCACCCAGGCTGCAGTGCAGTGGCGCAATCTCAGCTCACTGCAACCTCCGTCTCCTGGGTTCAAGCAATTCTCCTGCTTCAGCCTCCTGAGTAGCTGGGATTACAGGCATGCGCCACCATGCCCAGCTAATTTTTTTGTACTTTTAGTAGAGATAGGGTTTCACCATGTTGGCCAGGCTGGTCTTGAACTCCTGACCTCAAGTGATCCACCCACTTTGGCCTCCCAAAGTGCTGGGATTACAGGCATGAGCCACTGTGCCCATCCAGTGCTCTTGACTTTTCTGATTTTTTTTTTTTTAAGACGGAGTTTTGTTCTTGTTGCCCAGGCTGGAGTGCAGTGGCATGATCTCAGCTCACTGCAACCTCTGCCTCTCGGGTTCAGGCGATTCTCCCACCTCAGCCTCCCGCGTGGCTAGGATTACAGGCGCCCGCCACCATGCCTGGCTAATTTTTGTATTTTTAGTAGAGACAGGGTTTTGCCATGTTGGCCAGGGTGGTTTTGAACTCCCGGCCTCAGGTGATTCACCCGCCTCAGCCTCCCAAAGTTCTGGGATTACAGGCGTGAGCCACCGCGCCCGGCCAATCCCAGCACCTTGGGAGGCTGAGGCGGGTGGGTTGCTTGAATCCAGGAGTTAGAGACCAACCTGAGCAATATGATGAGACCTCATCTGTACAAAAAATTTTAAAATGAGCTAAGCATGGTGTTGCACACCTGTAGTCCCAGCTACTTGGGAGGCTGAGGTGGGAGGATCACTTAAGTCCAGGAGGTTGAGGTTGCCCTGAACCGTGATTGTGCCACTGTACTCCAACCAGCCTGGGGAACAGAGTGAGAACCTGTCTGAAAAAAAAAAAAAAAAAAAAAAAAAGTCTCCTGGTGGTAACAGTTTCATCCAGGATGAGTAATCTTATGCCAGTAGGCTAGTCAATAAGAAAAAAATAAAATATAGCCTTGCAAGTCACTAGTATTTATAATAAACAATGTGGGTGTGATTTGAAAGTTATAAAACTTCTGCTCTGATCATAAAAACCTATGTACAGGCTGAGCACGGTGGCTCACACCTGTAATACCAGCACTTTGGGAGGCTGAGGTGGGAGGATCAACTGAGGTCAGGAGTTCAAGACAAGCCTGGCCAACATGGTGAAACTCCGTCTCTACTAAAAATACAAAAATTAGCTGGGTGTGGTGGCGGGCACCTGTAATCTCAGCAACTCGGGAGACTGAGGCAGGAGAATCGCTTGAACTTAGGAGAAAGAGGCTGCAGCGAGCTGAGATCGCGCCACTCCACTCCAGCCTGGGTGACAGAGTGAAACTCTGTCTCAAACAAAACAAAACAAAATAAAACAGAAACCTATGTACAAAACAATATTTTGTGATGCTCCCCCAAATCTCCCAAACATGGCAAGATTCTTGTGAACAAAACACCTGAAGTGCAAGGACATGATTTATAAGAACTTTTTGCTAACTGTAG